TAATCTTAACAATACATACATACCCCAAAACCCCAAAACCCCAAAACCCCATGATACAGATTTAAGAAAAATTAAAAAAGATAAATTAAATTAAGGGCTAGGGAGAGATATTAATTTAATAAAGTAGTCTTGATTCTTTTTTATTAATGGATCAATTATCTGAGACATCAAATTATAACATAGATGAAGTACTTAGTGCGGATTCAAAGGGAACTCCTAACATACAGTAAAACAATATAGAGACTTAAGTTAGTATAATGAGCCCAATTTCATTGCCAGAGAATATTTACTCCCCATATGAGTAAAACAATAACAATAAGTAAGTGAAAACTCAACAGAAAACTCAAAAACCTAACTAGGATTTCTTTCACAAGCTATTACCTTAAAGCTACTTAGGAAATCAAACATAAATGCAGTTCATAAAAGGATTAAAAAATGTACCTTAAAGCATGCGAATGCGACTTTTTAATAGATAAACTGTAGATACTAACAATCCAGCCATTAACCAAAGGAAAAAAAGAAATAAAGGTAGCTTGCCAATAAATGAGTCAATCAAGATTAAACTGCCTTCAATATCTGGATATCTAAAATAGAGTATTTTACCAAAGCAATCAGCAATGCTTTAAGACTACTTTTTTATGAATAAAAACGCAACAAAATTATCTCAAGGTATTTAATCAAGCAATACAAAACAAATAGCTAAATTACTTGCCAGAGGAATGAAGAATATCAATTATAATCAGCAGCAATTACCCTCTAACATGAATTAAACTCGCAATAACCAAAGTCATTTCGTGAATTTTAATCCTCAATAATATCGATCTTAAAACCCCAGTTTTGAAAGAAAATCTATCATTCCAATAAATAAGACCTTTGATAACTTCAATTCAGGTTTGGATACTGCTTAATCAAGAATGTTTATGAGTGATTTAAAGGATCAGAGCATAGGAAGGACTGAGCTAATAGATTAGAATAGTGATGAGGATCTAGATAAATACAGTCTATCTGAAATAAGGAATAGATATAATGAATCTAATAACGCTTCAATGCAAAAGTAGTCGGATTAAATGAGAGATAACTCTCTTGAAAATATAAGAATAGTTTAAGTTTAGGAGTTCAATCATCATAATCAGTAAAATATGAATGAAAAATATAAATCTAGAATGACTACAACCGCTACTACTAATCACGAAAGCAGATAAAAAGTCTTAGAAAAAAGAGTCCTATCTCTGAACTCTAAGGAATTTATTTACAGATCATTTGACTAGAAAACTCTTGCTAGTCCCCAAAATTACTAGATGGATTTCCCTGGTTAAAACTAGGTAGCAACTCAGAGTAGAGCTATAATACTCAATAATCTCAATGTAAATAGTGCAAACTAAGTAGCGAATGAAAAGATTAGATCATTTATATAGACATGGGGTCCTTAGCTGAAAATCATTCAGAAATTTATAAAGTCAAACACTAAGGATCAAACTTCGCCAGCAAAGTAGCAGGATGATCACATATAAATATAAAATCAAAACTAAGAGTCTCGAAAGAATTAGCATATTTAGATCGAACTCAGAATATCCAAGCCGCAGACCTAATAAGTGTAAAAAAGAAAGAAATTATGTCAAGACTTGAAGGAGAAGTTGCATTAAAATGAGTCATTGGAATCCTTTAAATCGCCACACAGCATCAAATTGCAAAATGAAAACATTAAATTGATTCTTTAACAACTGAGCTCAGAACGGGAGACATCTAAATATCACTCAGAATCAAGGAACGATGGAAAGTAAAACTCTTCAAGTAAAAACTTCTTAGATCATCAAATCACTAAACAAAAGTAGAGCAATTAGCATCTATAAAAAATGCAGAGATAATATATCCTGAATATTCAGAATTAGAATTACAGAACTTAGATGACTGACCAGAATAACACAATTGATATCGACATACAGGATTTAGAATCACCTATTCTAAACAGCAGTCAGCTAAAACCACATCTCAATTGAGATACTACTTTAAAATATAACGAACATTAATATATATACTATCAAGAGGAGATTTACCTCACCAATCATACTAATTTGATAATTTAACTCTTAATTTAATAATTATTACACATTCATATATTACCAATACTTTTCATTCAAAGTCACACAACTTATGTTTCATCTGCATTCTATTCCATAAGATTCTGCATTTGATAAAGAATGCTGTAAGCTGAGGAAAATGCTGGTCTGACTTGATTAAGCTCAACTGCTCCGATAGAACTCAAGTTCATGATTGGAGTGTCTTCAGCTTTAACTGACCTAATTGATTTAAGTAGCTTTTCTTTTCTCACTTCGTATATATCCTCAATTACAGACTTTAGCTTCTAAAGATTGCTTGACTATTGCCCTACTCCTGAAAATTCATCTGAGCAGTTGTTAAACAGCAAGGTGGCTATCTCATAGTAGTAGTAAGGTAGATCGGGACTAAACTCTGCTACAATCTCCTTTTCAATGCTTTTTATTGTCAAGAGGCAAGAGTAGTCTAACCATTTAGGAAGTTAAATAGAGCACTTATTTCTAGACTTCAAGTAAATAGCTAGCCATAAAGGAACTGTAACTGGTTTAGCAGGCCTGAATGGTCCAAAAGTGCCACTAATAAACTGGAATTAATCTTCTTTGAAGTTGGGGATAATTTGAATAAGTTCGTTTTCTGCAAAATATTCATTTTCTTGAGGAGTAAGGTTTTTGTAATTCATTACCGCTTTTATTTTAAAATTATTAATTTACATTTTTCCAATTAATTTTCAAGAAAGGGGGTTTTGGGGTTTTGGGGTTTTGGGG